GAGTGTGCAGGTCCTTCTGAATTGAGAAAGCTGGTTGGATAACAAGGGAAACGTCTTCAAAAAAAATACAGCAAGTCCAGTTGCCTTGACTTTTTTTTTATTTTACAGATAGGACAGACCAAGGGCTGCTGGAGGAGCGGAAGGGGTATGGAGGTATGTGGGAGAGAGGAGAGGGGTACCAGGGGCAGGAAAGGGGTACAAAGACTTGTGGCGAGTGTACAGAGGAGGAGAGGGGTACAAAGACTTGTGGCGAGTGTACAGAGGAGGAGAGGGGTACCAGGGGCAGGAGAGGGGTACAAAGACTTGTGGAGAGTACCAGGGGCAGGAGAGGGGTACAAAGACTTGTAGAGAGTGTACAGAGGAGGAGAGGGTACCAGGAGGCAGGAGAAGGGTACAAGGACTTGGAGAGACAGTGTACAGAGGAGAGGGCACAAGGGTATGTGGGGAAGAGAGAATGGAGGGTGTACAGGAGAGGGCACAAGGAAGAGTGATAGTCGAGGGATCAAGGTACACCCTGGACCAAAAGGCCCCCTGCAGCACCATGCAATACCCCCCAGGGTTAGATGGTATTGATGGAGCATGGTAGTAGGTGGAAGGGTATTACCCGGCATTCTCACCCTTGCAGGCGCTGATGAGGAAGTACCCGTACTGGGTGATTCCGGAGAAGGCCAGGTCCACCACAGGCCGGGTGTGACCGGAGCATGTCAGCGGGGTTTGCCGCATCGCCATGTTTCCACCAAACACAGCCGCTGCCGCAGCCTCTCTCCACCGGAAGGAAAAAGAACAGGAAGTGACGAAGCGGAAACGCGACTGCCATGTTAGATGAGGGCGAATTTGTCGGAAAACTCTGTCCAATTGAGAATCGGGCAGCTGTGGTATCTCCGCCCTCTCAGTTAGTGTGTGGGCTTGTGGAACAGCCGGAGGTGTGAACTGGCGGGGGGGAGTTTTGTTGCCCGCGGTTACCGCAGTGGATTTGCTCTGACTGAGGGCGGGGCCTTCCACCATGTGCCGCTCTGCAAGTACAGCGAAGCCAGGGCAACCCAATGACCACAGCCTGAGACCCCAACAATGTCCCCCAATGGCCACAGCCCGAGACCCCTCCAAGGTACTTCAATGACCACAGCCAGAGACCCCCTACAATGTCCCCCAATGACCACAGCCAGAGACCCCTACAATGTCCCCCAATGACCACAGCCAGAGACCCCTACAATGTCCCCTAATGACCACAGCCCGAGACCCCTACAATGTCCCCCAATGACCACAGCCAGAGACCCCTACAATGTCCCCTAATGACCACAGCCCGAGACCCCTACAATGTCCCCCAATGACCACAGCCAGAGACCCCTACAATCTGCCCCAATGACCACAGCCAGAGACCCCTACAATCTGCCCCAATCACCACAGCCAGAGACCCCTACAATGTACCCCAACGACCACAGCCAGAGACCCCTACAATGTACCCCAACGACCACAGCCAGAGACCCCTACAATGTACCTCACTGACCACAGCCAGAGACTCCTCCAAATGTACCACAATGACCACAGTGCCCACTGACCCCAATCTTCCCCATTGACCACTGACCTCAGTATGTACACTGCCGACAACATCCAAAGACCCCACCCCAATCTATCCCACCCACCACAGCCAG